ATCTTCAGGATGCACATCCCTCGTGGGTCTTCAGAAGCGGTTACCTCCTCGTGGTTAGACCCGGGCAATGGATATTACTTTCCGTGTAATGTTTATCATATTTTTATATGCTATACATTACATTACAAGTAAAATCTAGCCAAAGACCGCTTACCATAAACATTATAATTGTAATTAGTTTCTTTTAATTTCCTAATTGATATCATATTCCTTTACTCCTTTTTTTGGTTCCTTCTATCCATTTAATATACAGAAACTAATTACTTTATAATGTTTTTTAATAACTTTTATACATTTGCAGGTACCACATACTGCACAAACGAAAATTTTTTAATGTCATTTTTGTTTTACTTTGTTTTAGGAAATTATTTATTACAATGCACATGCAAGGGATCTTTTTAAATAATTTTCAAATTTTTACAGGTACTTGGAAGTAGTAAGAAATGTTTGAAATTTAATTTTCAATTTATTTCGTTTCTAGATCTATTTAATTCTAACAGACGTGTTAAAATCGTTTTGATTTTTATATATTTACTGTACTTTTTTATTTTTCTACCAAATTGCAGTTGAGATCTATAAAGGATCTTGCACTTGATGGATTAATTGTATTCTTATCTCGCATTTCTTCCTTGTTAACTAGATCATTTGAATTGAAAATAAAATGAATCAAATTTGTAGTACAATTAGTTAATAATTTTTTAGTTATCTATCTTTTTATAGAAATTAATTATTAAATTAATTATTATTTTTTTGTGTACCCTCAATATAGTTACAAAATAAATAATAATAACATTTGTTTAAAAAGTAATTTGATTTATTCAATAGTATGTTGCAACAATATGCAGTAGCACAATGTAAATTGTTATAAAATATATACGTGTGATATGGAAGACATTAAAACTATACATAAAAATCTTAATTGCAATATATCATTGATCATTATTTATAACAATACGTATTATTTATTATATTTGATATTTCATCAAATCCCACATGAGTTTCTAACGATAATCTCTGTTCTGTAATACATTTACAGAATTAATTTAAAATATAATTATATTAAACATATAAAATGTTTTTACAATTTAACAATAATATTATAGATTCCTATTATATCTTAAATTTTAAATGGAGATACTCTCGATAGTAAAGAAGTTTTCTGTAGTTTTCATGATCATTCTCTAGATGACGTTACAACTAGTTTCTTTATCTGATTTCATCATCAGGTACCAGATTACTCTCACATCAATTAATATTTTCATTCACATTGTTTTATATTGTTAAACGAATTATTAAATGTTCTCAAAAACGTAATAGTTAATCTATAAAATAGATTATTTTTCTAAAACATTTGTATAGAAAATCTCTAAAATATCTTAATATCTTTATAAAATATACAATAAAGGCAATACTAAAAGAGTAAGAATGCCTTTATAAAAATACTGCTAATTTGTAGTTTTTCAATAGTAGGAAATAATTTAGACTGGTGTAGAGGCCGGAATAGAACATACAGCCTCTTGCGCTAATGCAGCATTTCTTAATATCAACAAATGCGAATCCATGTCGTTCAATGCCTGATCAATGAAAGTTAATTTTCTAGCTTGACTTTTGGGAACACCGTGTTTAGTTACTAATGCTAAATGAGTAACAGCTAATACCAATGCAGCAACTCTAGCTTCCAATAATCTTGCATCCAATGGTGGATATAAACTTCTCACTACATCATCTACACGGGGTGGAATACGTCTAGCAACCTAAATAAATATCAAAATACATAAATAAATATTTAATGCGCTAATATAGAAAATAATTAAAATAATATTGAAATAATACAAACATCTACTATTTCCAATGGTACTGTATTGCTATTTACTGTTCCTGCAATAGCAGTAAGACTTGCTGCCAAAGCATGACAAGAACGAAGTATTGCGATACAAGGTGGTGCTAAACCAGTAGCATCATCAACCCACCTAGAATATAAAGAAACCAATATTACAAATGTTTAGCTTTACGAATGAATATCTTATACCTTTCAGCACCAGCAAGCCATTCCTCGCTTTCCCAAGTACCCAAACCTAATTCAGGATTATTCTCACTTTCCAACAAATCTGAACTGAGATCCAGTGAATCTTTTTGATTCTAAAATAAACAAGAAATAACAACTCTTATCAATCGTATTCAAACACAAGTTCAATCGACTAATCAATGCACTAACATAATAACAACGTTGTCTGCGACAAATAACAAGGAGTACCAAGAGTGCACCAAGAAAAACTGCAGCAAGCGCACCAAGTGCAACTGCTACTATTGTTTCCATTCCATTAGTACCAGTCAATGAAGCAGAATTACTTATTGACACTGGTGAACTCATTTTTATTTATTTCTTTTCTTTAGAATAAAATTATATATCTAATGTTATTACCAATAATTATTATATAAAGTATAACATCAAATGTTAAGATACAACATTTATATAAATGTTTGATATCATTAAATCATCTATCACTGTTAAAGTTTTTTTTTTATTTTTTCAAATAAAACATTGAATACAGTAATACGTTTTATGGTTGAACTATCAACAATGCTATGCATTCTCTTTAGTGACAGACGGTGGGAGGCAGAGACTGTCACGGATCTTATGCTCAATTCACCAGTAACAAACATTTCATTATTGGACGTATCAAACATTATATAAAATCATGTATATTGTTCTATTCATTTATATATACAATATAAATGTATTTATCATTAACATATTTAATTCATTCATAAGATTACATATGTCAACCTAATGCATAAAAACAAAATGGAGAATATTAAATGTGCACATAAGATCAATGGTGCAATCTATTATATGGTTAAACTTTTCAAGTCATACTTATATTCAACACATGCATACATATATGTATGTATACATGGTATGATTAGATATATATATAATGTTAGGTATATATATATATATATATATATATACATATATATTGTTATTTATGAAACGATTAATTATGAAAAAAAGATGTAAATCGATATTATAAAAATAANTATATATATATATATATATATATATATATATATATATTATATATAGTTATATATATAGGTATATATATATATAAAAGGTATAACGTGGCAGCACTGCGTAGAATACCCTGTTGGAAGAATACTTCTGAGTCATATGTTTCTTACAGAAACGAAAATAGTGTTTAAAAAGGATGCTGTCAAATTCAGTGTCATATTTAGTATTATTCATAAAAAGAATAGAATTTTCTTAAACAATTTTAACACGAGTTTAAATAATTTAATTAATATCATTTTAATGTTCCAATGAAATCTCTCTGAATATTTATCATTTCTCGTGACGATTCATCCTCTTATTACGTTTCAAAGAATAATAATAATCTTATAATTAGAAGAAACTTAATCTAAATTTGAACTTTATTATTATTCATACACACGTATATATATATAAATATATATATATATATATAGAAATTAACATTTAATTTGTTTTGTTTTTTAAATGATACGTTTACTAATTCCTTATTGAGGTTAAGTTTATTAATATTATTGATATTGAAATAGTTTTCTTCGTGTTCATTTATTCTTCCAACTGTTATCGGGTGTGTATATGACAAACAGATTAAGAAGGAAAATTAAAGGGTTGAGTTTAGTTACAGCTTATATATGGTAAGAATGAATAAAAAACCTAATAGTGCAACAGCTCGCTTAAAGCAGGATTACTTACGTCTTAAAAAAGATCCTGTGCCATATGTTCTGGCTGAACCAGTACCTTCTAACATATTAGAATGGTAACTTGATGACTATTCTTTTGATGATATTAACATTTTTCTTTTTTGTAACATAAGTTAATCATATTTATTTTTGTAGGCATTACGTTGTCAAAGGACCAGAAAAAACACCTTACGAGGGAGGGTTTTATCATGGAAAACTTATATTTCCTGGAGAATTTCCATTTCAACCTCCTAGCATTTACATGACCACTCCTAATGGTAGATTCAAAGTTAATACCAAACTTTGTCTATCCAACACTGATTTTCATCCGGATACATGGAATCCTGCTTGGAGTGTGTCTACTATTCTTACAGGGCTTCTTAGTTTTATGGTATGTTAAATAATTAATATTATAAATATAAAATGTAAGCGCACGCACTGAACGTGATTTTTTGAATATGTGGTTATCAATTACAGATCGAAAAGAGCCCAACCTTTGGCAGTATTAATACAACAGATTACGAAAAAAGAGAATTAGCGAGGCAAAGTTTGGAATACAATCTACGTGATAAATTGTTTTGTGAATTATTTCCTGAAACTGTTGAAGTAATATTTCTCTCTTCATTTAATTTGCATTTGCTTTATTTTCGAATAGGCAAATAATACAAAACATTCAATTAAATCATTCCTATGTAATATTATTTTACATTATAGGTCATCAAGGCAGAATTAGAACATAGAAAAGAATTGGAAAAACAAGCAAGGCATCAATCTACAGCAGCAGAAGTTTCTTCCTTAATACGAGATCAATTACAAAGAGAACAAAGTCCGTTACAAGGTGCAATTACTAATCTCGTTGTTCTTGTTGGTTTTGCAGCATTCGCTCTTATAGTTAAATATGTATTAAGGAGTATCGCAACGGAATATGGTAAAAGTGAGTAGATATTAAGATATTAAAAAGAATTTTGTAAGAAAAGATAATATACATGAACAGATCTACCATGCACACATTTTTTACTTAAGGCTTCTCAAGAAAGACAATGATTTCGTATGAATAATAATGAATTGCTTTTCTTTTTCTTTTCTTGTTATACTTTGGTTTGTCATACAATTGCACTTTCTTCCAAATAATTTGTCTTCGACTTATAACAAAGTGCAAAATTAATATTCCGACTGCCTAAAAAGCTTTATATATATATTCATGTATACATTGCATCTTTGTATAACTTATTGTTACACGAAGATACATTTTATTATTCCTACTAAAAATTATAAATTCATTTTCAATACGTACTTATATATATATATATATATTTATATTTCCAATAATGATTTTACAATTGAAAATATTGGAGCCTTAAGGAAAAAAAGAAAGAAGGAAAGGAAAGAGAATTTGCCGATAATGTAAGCTACATTGACTTGCCTATTGATCTATGCCGAATTTGTGTGGAAACCTTCATTAATCTTTGATCGATGTTAGTCATGGACATTTGATAGATGTTTATATCAGGGGTTATTTGTAAGATCCAAAATGTATTATAACATCCATTATATTTTAACAATGATAATTGTGGTTTTTCTGCAACAACAATTTTTCTACATCGACGTAAGAGGTTATTTTTCATATTAAATTAGAATATGAAATATCGTTAATCGTTACAATTTCGTAACCCTTAACGAATATCCACATTTTGTATTCTAATGTTATTATTTAAACTTCCAAAGGATGGTTTATCAACGATCGAACATTTAAACCGTGATAATTTTTAAAAGAAAACGAACTAATTTAAAGTCATCCAAATCATAAAAGGACTTCCTATGTTCGATGAATTCTTTTAAGAAATTGTTTATTTTCTTTATATACCGATTGTGTGCATCGCTGGACATTTGACAAGAAAACATTTTTCATTCGCTCGTCGATAAAACATTAATTTTAATTATTGTTAAATTTAAAACATATATAATTTATACATTTGGAATCTTATATAATATAATTAACGAAGAAGTGCATAAATTTCATCGATCGAACAATCTTTGCCTCTTCGATGTGCCAATATAGAAAACAAATTTTATATTTTATTAACTTATTAAAGTATCATATATTAGGATCTTATTAATCCCTTTCCCTACGATTTAAGTTTCAATGAAGTGTGCCATAATCAACAGCAAGATAGATCATATATCGAGCCATTTCATGGTTCAGCTAAGCATTGGAAGTTGTGTAAATCGCACACGTTTTGTGATATATAAAGCCATGAGTCTGACCAGTGTTGTTTATGTGTGGCCCATTCGATGTACCACGGGCTCTTATGAACCGTGATACTCATGCTTACAATTAGTCTAATTTCCTTACCACAAATCTTACACGATATTGTAGGTAAAGGGAATTAAGTATCATATGCATACAATATTTGATTCATTCTATTAGAGATCAAATGTAAATATAATTTATATAAGATCGATGAGAAAATGAACTATCAGAGGCAAAGACGATTCAATTTTTCTTTTTTCCAACTATATTTATTCCAATTTACTTCTTCCACTTTTAAAAAGAATAAAGAAAGAAAAAAGAGAAAATAATTAGATATAATATAATCAATCGCTTTAATAAAATATTATATCGTCTATCTTCCTTTTTAAATCTATAAATTTAAATACAAATTACTTTTTATTTTTAGTTTCTTATAATTTGGGAATATATGATTTTGTTATTAATCTCTATATCGATTATTATTATCTGTGTGTTATTTTATAATTACATATTCTTTCTTATCCCTATTTTTTGGTACAAGGCACATTGTAAGTTGGTAGAATATATTTGATTCGATATATTAAAAGCAAAAATATTTATATATTCTATTAAATTCAAATCGTATAAAGATAATCAATGCTTCTTTTTTAATCTCTATTTTAAATATATTATATATATATTTTAAATATGGATTCTCTCTTTTAAAATGAAATTAAATTCTCTCACTGATGTGTGATTAAAATTGCATGTTGAACTTTGTAATCTTTGAAAATCATATGTTAAAAATATATATTAAAATAAATTTCTGTCAAAGATATTCAAACGCAATTGTTAAAGAATTGTCAAATGGATATGAAATAAGATTGATTAAAAATAAAAATAACTGAAACAGTCTACGTAGAATTATGACGATAATAATAAATAAAATACATGATATATAGAAGAAGAAGAAAAGAATATAAGAATGCCTATATAATAATAATAATAATAATATAAACGAGCGCCAATATAAAATAGCACAGAAATATTTTCAAACATATCAAACACAAAATAGGAAAGAAAAAAGAAAATAATTAAATAGTTTTATTTATTTGGGTCAATATATTTGTATTATTTAACGGTAAATATTTTGTATAGTATATGATCAACTTATGCGAAGATTTTGTTTGATATAATTAATTACATTTTTTTATCGATATTTTGAAGTTGATTTTGAGAGAGAGAATTGTCTTAGTTTATTGATAGATTATTTTATTATTAACTAATATATTTATTAATATTGATCACATCTATTATAAAATATTGACAAATTATTTATAAATATTAAAAAAAGAAAATAAAAAATCAAAATAATAATCGCGTTTATATTCATCGGTTTATAATACTGATCATAATAATTTATCATAAATATTGACCCGATAAATACCAGCCAAGAAAAGAAATAAAATGACGATTACATTACATACACGTTCGGTGAAATATTAACGCATTATCTCGTATTAGTAAAATTCAAGAAAGAAATAAAATAATATTAAATAAAATACATTGTTAAATGACTATGATACAAGTAAAATGAGTAAGTAAATTGTCAAAGAAATGATGTCGTTAATTCGACATGATAAAATGTTTTTGCATTTTTTAATCGTTGAATTTGACCGATTTAAAAGTACATGTTTATACATATATTTACTTATTTAGTTACGTAGAAAGAGAGAAAGACACGATATTCTTGGAGACAGTGGATGGTGTTCGTAAAACGATAAAACGTTAGTTTTCTCTGAATGCTTCGTTGTCCAAGTGCTCTCGGGAGGAAGGACACATCCTGTGAAGTGGCTTTGGTTTTCTTTTCTCTCTCTCTCCTTTATAAGATATTTTATAAGCAAAAAACTTTTACTTTTGATAATCTTCATATCCTTTCCTTTCATATTTTTCTTTTATTCTTTTTCTTTCTTGTTTTTGCAATTATTAATTTTATATTTTTTTATTATCACAAAATTGGTTAATATATTTAAAATATAAATTTTCTTTGATATTTCAAAATTGTTTATATATTAATAAAATATATAATTGGACTATTTAATATGAAAATAGTGTTAGTCAATTTTGTACAAATATTGGAAAAAACATATAATAATGATATTATATTTATAATTAACGAATATTATGTTTTTTTCTCAATTATTTTTATAATATCGATTTACATCTTTTTTTCATAATTAATCGTTTCATAAATAACAATATATATGTATATATATATATATATATATATATACCTAACATTATATATATATCTAATCATACCATGTATACATACATATATGTATGCATGTGTTGAATATAA